AAGAGACAGTATATATATATTACGCTGATGAAATCCACAGGAGTGGACGAAGAAATAACAGCTGACATAAGAAACGGTTTCAATAAGAATTATAACAATTATTCTTGGAAAACCAGGTCACTAAAATTAGGAACATTCAGACCACAGGCATTCGGACCAAAGACCCTTCGGACCAAAGACCCAAAATATAATAGAGTAAAGTAAATCTATGTTAAAATGGCCTAGGCCTACCTAGTACCTACCAATATCCTGATTTATTTTAAGTCTCTAAATTCTACATGTTTCTAATTTTTTCTTTGTAATTTAGTGAGAATAAAAGACAACATATAAAAAAGAAATCCAAACGAATGAAAGAGGTGAGGATAAATTATTAACCTATGAATATGATGAATTTTCATTTAAAATAGGCCTAGCCTAAATGATGTAGTTTAATGTTTTTCTGAAAGGAGGCCTAGGGCCTAGGCCTAGGCCAGGGAAATTCTAGGCCAGTACATGTGCCCGCTAGCTAGCCTAGCGCGGGAGTAGCTAAGTTCACAACACAAATGGCAACGTGTAAATGTAAATCTCACCCGGACACTTCATGTTGATATGGTGGGTCGTCGCCAGGCTGAGTCTCAGTGGGTGGTATATAATGGTCTTTTACCCACTTGGTGGACAAACACTCAATGTTATATACTCTTTGCTACAGCATTATGAAAGAAAAAACTCGTCTGATGACGTCGAATGATTACGTCGTACCAAGGACACTAGAAATACAAATACAAGATATATATAGAGCACTCGCATTCGCATAGCAAAAAATGAGGCGAAATTGGTCCAGACGTACGCGGCGCCCTCCTCTTTTTATAACGCAAGGTCCGGACGCGATTTTTTTTTTCCGTACGAAATATTTGCATGAAACTTCACTCGGGCCATCTCGGATTGACTCGACTGAGTTCGATACGCGCGAGGAACAAGAGCAGACACTTCGCAATGTCGTGACGCTCGAGTTTTACTATTATTGCTCTTTCTATGTTATACGGCTGAGGCCTATGCTATCTTACGGATTTATGGGATGTAGGCTCTGTCGACCTTCTTGGATGTTATTAAATGTTAGTATAATATCTACAACAACAGCTAGTACCCCCTTTTCTAAGTGTAGATAGGTACAGTAATACCAAAGGCTAGAGAGAAAGAGGATAAACTGGCCTAACTACAGACTGAGTTAAGTCCTACCTAGGCCCCTCCTTAAACTATAGGCCTAGGTCCCTGGGTCCAGGCTGACACCAACAGTCACACTTCACATACAGACGTTGATTGAAATTTTGAAAAAAAAAATGGGAAAAAATTAAAGCATAAAATAAAAAATAGAGTGCATAAGAGAATAATTATTAAATAAATAAAATATACCATTCGGCGGCGTTGAACTTGGCCAATCCTTGTAATGTAATTAATGTTAAATAATAATAATAATAATAATAATAATAATAATTTCAGCATTAATAACCTTGACCTAAGCCTTGTAATGAAGAACCATATATTTACTAGGCCTATAACTAGCCCAGGGGGAATATCTTTTGTGTTATTTCCCCTTAACGTCAATTTTTTAATTGTTCTCTAATTCCTTCATTGTCTAAGTTCCCCTTAAGGTAGACCTACAGGTTGGTTTTAGTAACATAATAATTAATAATAATAATAATAATAAATAATCATTTCGGCATTCTTGTATTTAACTTGGTCTAGCCTTGTAATCAAGAATCTGCAGATTAGGTACTATGGCTTAGGCCTCATTTATACATTCATTTTGGTTCTCTGCCATTTTGGCAGGTCTTATGTATCCAGTATGTTAGAGCTGCCTATTCTCAGCTCTTCTCTTAATTTGAAAATAACTGTCACCCTGTTTCATTTGATCAAACGCCCCGAGAAACGCGATTTTCCTTACTCTCTGTGCTTTCCCCAGAAAGCGTATATTTTTTTTAGTTAGGCCTAGGTAAATATGCAAAACCCAGACCTAACTAAAAAATAAAAATTGCCACAGTATGTAACTCAAGATAAAATAACACTTTTTTACTCGTGCAGCTCTATCAAATATTATGTCATTTTAAACGACCCATTAGTATTAGCTAGCATGGTAACATCAATGTATTTTTAAAAATTATAAAGCGACGCTCTCTCAGATCAGAAGTTGTTGATGACCTTTTGACCTGAGTTCTGCAATATGAGATTTTCGGGTCGATTCAGTCGACACGTAGAGTGGAGTTTCATGTAAATGTTTCGTACGGGAAAAAATCGCGGTCCGCGAGTATAGGGCGCCCCTGGCTCTGGGCAAAGATCTTATTAAAACGCAAGATAGAATTCTCCGCGATTTACGCGTGCAAATTCTGTAATAATGTCTTTCATAGTTTCATTCAAATTTATTATGTTGCTTTGTTTCTGAATTGTTTACCTTGTTTCACTGCATCTATGCATTCTTTTTTTGTATGAAATTGTTCGTTTTATTCTGGTCTGTGTGGGTCAAATTTGAAAAAAAATGAAGAAAAGGATTAATTGATCGAGTAGAGAGGGATATATTTGTGTATGTGTACACAATTGTTTTCTATATATTATTATACTGTTTTATTGTTTTAATTTTAAGTTCACTTCCCTATTTCTCAGTTTCATTTTAATTTTTTTAAAAGTTTGTGTCAATTTTGTTTTATTTGTATTTATTGTACTGTAATTAAGTGATTCATTGTATTGTATTTAAGTTGAACGCACAACCCTTAAGTGGTGCCGATCTAAAGGCGTATGTTCACAAAGTAACTAAATAAATAAATGCATGAAAGCGCGCCCTCTTGCAAAATTGAAAACTTTTTAACCTTGACCGCTCTGCTGACCATTAGCGTACGCCGCGCGACTTTACAGTTACGCGTAACAATTAGAAGCGTCCGATTTACAATGCGCCCTCTCTTTAAAAGGAACAAATTAACGTACTTGGTAACGAACTTATGGCGTAACGCGAACGCCCTATCTCAGATCCATGGCAACGACTAGGACGCCCTCTCCCAAAACTGATTACTTTTTCTGTGCCGCCAAATAGACGCTTCTATTTATTGTTACGCGTAAACCGCGGAGAACGCTAGCTATCTTGTGTTTATAAGATCTTTGGGCGTGCATCATCCAAAATACGTCAACTTGAGGGCGCTACACGAATAAAAAGAAAACTGCATGGATTGTAGATTGGTGGTATGGTAGGAATTTAGTATGTTGCAGGTCTAAAAGGCGAAGGGCTTAGACGCACTTGTTTAGCTTGCAGGGATTAAAAAAGCATGTCGTTGCCAAGTTGTTCCTAACGAAAAAAATGTGAATTATTGGGTAAACGCCAGCGCGCGATCCAAAGGCGGTGAACACATTGGTTTGTCGCATCAAAGGGATCTGTTGCCAGAGTGATCTCCTTCTCAATAATATTAATACCTCCATGTTTTTACGTAGAAATTACTTACCTTTTCCCTTCCATCGGAGTCAGCTCATAGATGTAAGCTGGCATGTCCCAGAGGCTTTTATGTATTCTATTATACAATGGAATTTCCAACTACTATCTCCCTTAATCCAAATCATGTAAATACCATTGGTGTTCTCATCATCTTCATCAATACCATCATCATTCATTATAATTTTATTTTTATTTTATTTTATTTCGAACATCATCCAACAGCAAAAAGCCAATTACAGGATGTCTAAACCATATAAATATAAAAAATATATTTTAAAAAATGCTACAAAAATGAATAAATAATTACTTAAATTACATTATGAAATTGGAATAGGTAAAATTTTACAAAAATATTGCGAAGAGTAACATTCATCATCTTCATCACCATCATCTTCACCAATAACATTTTCATCATAATGGTGTTAGGTATTATAGTATTACTGTATTATTGTCATTTTCCCATAGGAGAATGGTTTCAATGCTAACGATAGGAAAAAAAAAACAAAAATACTCAGTTGCATTTTAATGATTATTCTAATTCCAGTCACACAAACGGTACCGTACGGTACGGCAAATTGTACCGTAACAACAAAACATCATTTATAACTGGTATAGCGACAGAAATGTAATAAAAACAAACGTATATGTTCCCAGTATTGTTTCATGATTTGAGTGCAATGTTAATGACCAAATATATTCTACTGTACAAAGAAAAATGTAATTTGAATAATTATTTCTTAATATAGTTGCTCTGATACGATATATA